GTTATCCCTTGCCGCACCCCGCCCCTTCCAGAGTCGCAAACCTGGCTGGCTGCGGCCTCACTGAGTGCTCAGCTTAGTCATTTCTTTTTTTCAAAAAACCCCCCCCCCCCCCCAAACTCTTTGCACAAGCAGTTCATTAAGTAAAAACCATCCATTGTGAATGGTATGCCAATATCAGTCTGCAGCTTTGCTCAATACATTGTCACTGACGAAACTCCCTGCATCATTTTAGCAGGGATCGTTGCAGAGAGCAAAGTTACCTCAAGAGTTTCCTGCACAAATCCACTGCTTTATTCATATTTAAACGCTACAACCTAGAATAAATAAAAAATAATTTTATTTTGAATCCTGGTTGTTTAAATTGTGCAATGAGCTATTGGCATCATTTGATGTGTTAAGTGTTGCTCTCTAAATGCAGGATGCCGTCTTATCCCCTCTGTCACTTTGCATGTTTCATGCTGGGCTCCTGAATGAAGGCATGGGATTGGATGGCTGTGGTCTGTGTCAGGGTTTACAGACGCTTCATGTGTTTGCTATAATCTGTGTGAATGGCTCAACATTTGAGCCAAAAGCCAGCACAAAGCTTAATTTACATTATTTAGATTTGTAGACATTTTTCTCCTGAGCGACACTTCTCAATATTTCAGCTCAGTAGATTTAGAGAAGGCTCTTATTCATTATTGATGCCGCCTTTATAATTGATAGTATCACAGCCAGCGAGACCACCTTTGTATTTGTTATTTAAGACTTACGGCGTTACGACCCCAGATATATTGAGATCATAGACAGATCATGCATTGCCCTACATCGACCAGCGAGGAGTATTGACCTGAAAAGGGGTGAAATAGTTTGAATTATTAACTACAGCCTCCGCAGCATCTCCAGTGGGCAGCAGTGAAAGCAGCAGCGGCGTGTACTCGCGAGTGGTGTGCATGGTCATTATACAACCGCTGCCTCTGAGGCTGCTGATGTCAGGTAATTCAGTCTCACAACCTGGTTCTCAGCCACACAACACAGGAGTCAATTGAATGCATGGCCTGCCACGAGATAAAAGGGGAATTAGCTCTGTAGATTGGGTTGTGCTCCACACCTTACAGTGCCGTGCATTTGTTCAATATTTAGGTAAACCGGAGAATCACTAACTCCAGAGTTCAGTGGGCAGGAGAGGAATGTGTGTGTGTGTGTGTGTGTGGAATGGGGAAGGGTGGTAAAACGTCTGGAGGATTTGATGCCAACACTGCTGAGGCTGTCCATGCTTCTAACACCATGCAGTGGTAGAATACAGTCATAACACACTCCATCAGCAAGGACAAGAGCAGAATAAAGTAAAAAACATGTTTCACTGTTACCTTTTCTTGAAATTACATGTCTCGTTTACTAAAACACATGGATTTGCTGCAGATCACTGACAGGGTCAGAAGTAAGTGTATATCTACAGTTAAAACACATGCACAGGGTGTGTTCATGTGCACACACTGCAGCTGTGTAGCTGTTTAACACACTGTTTGTGTGAACTATTGTTAGATTAAACAGACTGATGAGCTTCACAAAACGTTTCCTATGGTGTTCTCGGGTTTGTGGGCACTTTGTGAGCTGTCTCAAAGAGTGAGGATATTGTATCTTCTCTGCTTCTACAATCCACTATAAGCAGGTTAAGTAAAAAGGATGATGGCCAGGGCTTTCATTGCTTCCAATTAAACCTTGCTTGTTAGTTTAACCTCTAGGTAAACCCATCAAACAATTGATGTCAAGGAAACCCCGCCAACAGTGGGCCTCGCCTGAATGGTCATTAATTTTAATTGCCTAGATATTAAAGATTTAGAGCACAGAGACGTGCGGGATAGAAATGATCTGATGTCCTGCAAATCCAGTCAGTTTTCACGCCACAGCATTGGCGGGCTGCTGGGGATATTAAAATTTAAGCACATGGGTGGAAATTAAATAAAGCGTCATTAGGGGCAGCTGCACTTTGGCTGGTCCAGCCGTGGGGCTGCAGGGCCTGAGAGGGAGGCAGGAGCCACAGCACAGCGACAAGACACTCTAATTTATAGGACCATTAAAAACAAGCATCATCTCATTATTATTCCACTGTTATTGCAGAGCCAGCATTCACACATAAGGCTCACCCCTCGTACAACTTTTCTATCTGACTGATGTTGGACGTCATTATTACAGTTCAACAAAATTAGCATTTCCTACAGCTCTAACGATAAATACACACTCGGATTCAGACATTAATGTGAACTCAATAGTTCCCCGTGCCTGAAGAGTTCAATTTTACTTCAGTAAAATATTTAAGTTTTGGTTTTTTTAAACACATTTTCAACTAACGCTGCCAAACCAATAATCTGTGTTTACTGCTTCACACGTCTGCAGGTCTTTACCCTCCAACTCCACTTTTTGATAATTACAAACTAAAGTTTCCTCTCGAATCACTGAGCATGCACACACACACACGCACACACATTTTTTATAGCTGTTTTACTGTTTTGTTACTAATCACAGTACAGCTACATAGACCAACCATTAAGTATAGTGAATGCTCATGTAGATTTGTATGCATGCTTTAATTAATGTTAGAATTAGTAATTTAGTCAAATATGAGCATTTAACACAACATGCAATGTTTTCCAGTTTTCTCTAGTTGATCAAATTTGATGTTTAGCCTTATACATACTCATACAAACGTATATATAGCTTGCAATTTGCCATGTAGGCCCTGAGTTAAATAATTGTACATGTAAATATATTTTGAATTATTGTATATTTACATGAGGTGTCAATCACCCAGACTCACTTCACTGAAATCAGTGATAAGTCTTTAGAGGGTAAAACATGAACATTCATATATTTCCTTGAGGGAAATACCAGAGTTTGTATCCTTAACAACCGAACCTGATATGAGAAATATATATAATACGTTGACTTTAGTGTGTGAACAGTAGGAGCCCCTTGTGTTTTAGTTTCGTCAGGAGATCTGAGAGCATGTCGTGCTCCCATCCATGAGAAGACACAAGTGGCTCCTGATTATGGCTTAATTAGCTCGTGTACCCGGCGGGCATTATTCTGCAGGGGCTGGGAATTGGGTACTTGATGGACCCAAACATGACATCTTGAAACAATCACACTGCTCAGTGCACGGTGCTGTAGCTGCCTGACGTCTGACTCCTCTGCTCCTCCTCCCTCTGCTCTCCCTTCACAGGTATCCAACTGGTTTGGCAACAAAAGGATCCGGTACAAGAAAAATATCGGCAAGTTTCAGGAAGAGGCCAACCTGTATGCCGCCAAGACTGCTGTAAATGCAGCACACGCTGCAGCCGCTGCAGTGCAGAACAGCCAGGCCAACTCCCCTACCACACCTAACTCCGGTAGGCACTCCTGCATATAGACAAAACAATAAAATAAAAAGATCTGCCCTCTACCTCAGCCCTTAACCTGCTGCCTACATGCCTCACTCTCTCATGCACCATTCACACAGGCAAGAGTGACAGGCTCTGCTCCCAGCTTGGGGATCACAGTGTCTCCTGTCTATAAGACAGTTGATGCCAAGCAAAGTCATGCATAAAGAGACTGTTCCTGACTTGTGAACCGAGAACACGTGTATTTTTGGCAAAAAAAAAAAAAAAATGAAAAAAAGAATCCAGAATGATACCATGGGATTTGTTTTCCCCTGACTTCCTGTCAGCTTCCTGTCATTTGTAATGCAGTCGTATGTAGTCCCACTGAGTGGTAGTCTTTTTCTGCACAATACAAAGAAAAGTAATTGCTGTGAGCTTTTAACCTACAGTAATATTATTATATTTAAGTGACATCATATGCAGATCGTATTGAATAAGAAAGGAATAAAAAGCAGCCTGATAGGGCATGTTTAGTGATGAGATGATGTAATGCTGAGTTTGGACTAGGTTGACCTGCGTCGGGATGTGGTAAGCTTATGAAGTGGTCCCTTTTTCTTGCACCCAGGATTCCAGATGAAAGATGAAGAGTTTCAGCTGGATTCTGCAGAGAGCAAAAACACTCTTTTAAGCAACATGTTTACTGGTACTGGTCTTTTCATAAGCTTCTTATTGTCCTTGTCATTTTACCTTGTGATACTGTACCTCCCTGCCAAAGTTAGATTGGAAGTAGGTGGATGTGGAACAATTGGGAGCTTAAGCTACCAAACCACATATAGAACCGGTCCCTTTTGTGTCATGTGATTTTCATTTCACTTGTGTCCACCGCATTCGTTAGAAAAAAAGATCATCATCCCTCCTTCTGCATATCGTCCTCCTCTGTTTGTCTCTCTCCCTTTCTTCACCCCTGTAGTTGCCTGCTTTATCGGAGTCTTTCTTGCATTTCAGTGCATCTGTCTGCTTGAGTTGGGTCTGTGTATGCGGACACATGCGTGTAGCGTGTGTGTCTGCGTTATTTGTGCGTGTGTGTGTGGGTCTGTGCTTTCCCTTTATAGGCATCTCATGTATTCAGCTACTTACATCTTCCCTTTCCAGGTTCTTCAGGTTCTTTTAACCTCCCAAACTCTGGGGACATGTTCTTGAGCATGCAGAGTCTGAATGGGGATTCTTACCAAGGGGCACAAGTCGGAGCCAATGTACAGTCACAGGTAGGATCAACTAATCAGGGACAGTTCCTGACTACCAGTGCAGAGAGCTGTCCTTGTCTTGCCTGTGTACTGAGCCATCCACAGTGCAGTCTGCAGCACATTCAACCAAAAACAGAAAATATGAAAAAAAAACACAGTGCTCAGGGGACGGCAGTAAAATTACCACAGTGAGGCGTCCGATAACAATCGATTGACCACAGTGTTTACTGACTATTTAGCTTTGGATGGAATATTTTGGCAGCCAAAATATAATCCCACCCCACTGCTTTAATGCCACAAAGCAACTTCCTGGTTACTACTCCAAACATTTAGCGAATGCATTTGGCTTTGACTTGAGCTCTTGGGTTGGTATTGGGTTTTTGGTACCGTGTTTTCCCCTCCCTTCTTTCTGTAACCTATATTGCTGTCTTCCTACCTCATCCTGTTATTGTTTGTTGTTGATGTCTTCCATTTTGTAAGTTTGACGCAGCTACACAGCCCACACACAACAATGCACCTATGAAAAATAGAAGAATCAGTGCTTACTCATGATTATGATAAAAATAAAACAGTTATAGTGTATGTCACATTATTATCATGTATGTTCTGTTTTATTATTATTATTATTATTATTCCATAGCCACTATAGAGAATGTAATAGAGCATGCTGGTAACGTCCTGACATTGCTTTTATTTTATTTTATTTTTTCATTAGAAAATCTCGACGCTGTGTCACACATGTGTTAGTAGATTTGCTGTCTCAGAAATCTCTCTGTGATTTCACGTTAGTCTCTGTCGCTTCACCGAGCATGTTCACAGTTAGTGTCGGACTGCAGCGAGACACCCAGCTGACCAGCCTGTCCACCTTGTCTGTCCCCTCAGGTGGATACCCTGCGCCATGTTATCAGTCAGACGGCAGGATACAATGATCCTCTTGGGGGAAACATCATGTACAGTCCACATGGCTTAAATGTAAGTAGAGGTTTGACTGGATAAACTTGTTGATTGCTCGGACAAAAGCAGTGTGAAATAAGTTAAAATATGTTTTTCAAAATTGTATTTATGATACAGTCCATCATATAGCTATGCAACAGGGGCGGAGCGATGGGAAATCTGACCCCAAAGTGCCCCCATCCTGTTGGTAGTCTTAAAAGAATAGTGACTTAATAAAAATACTAATAAATATGACAACTTTAAAAAAAAAGAAGAACACAGTGTTATTGAACAAGGAACACTTTTCAAAATATATTCGATGATGTGTGGCTTTGATCAAAGCTGTAGAGCTAACAGTGAACAAGTAATGACTTAAATGTGCACTTTACTGAATCAGGAATCGTGCATGGATGTTGGATGTATAAGTGGCATCTCTACGGCCCCTGATTTAAAAAAACCCTAGATCTGCCCCTGCCTTACACCCAGTAGATAAAAAAGAAAAAACCTTGCATGTGTTAACTTCCAAAATCAAATATTAGATATTGAATCTTTCACTTTTTCACCTGATATGAACAAAAGTAGAATTACTCAGCAGGGAAATGAAGCCTGCAACCAATGATTTCTTTGACTCAAATCAAAAATGATGAAAATAATACTGCACAGTATCTGTTGCATTTTTAGCTGTTTTGAAATGCTTCACAGAATTTTTCCCTCGCCTTATCTCCATGATAAAAGATGAACATGTGATCGCCCGCAGCCCCTTCCAGACATGAATTCCATCTTCTCTGATGAGATTTGATATGGCGCCTTTTTGTAAAGCAGAGCATAATCTGGAGCTATCAGAGTAAAGATTAATTTCGTTGATGAGAGAGGATGAAGAGAGAGGGAGAGGAACAGTATCAGACAGCTCTTTCTCCCTCTCATGTGTTTGCTCTCTTTATATTGTTATGCCTGTTGGGTGAAATGCATGCATATTCACTCTAATGCTATTGAAAGCTTAAGCATAAAAATAAGGCATTAAATCACTGCTGGAAATTAAAAAATATTTCTGCAAGGGAAAAAAAAAACCCTCTCATGTAAACAAACAGCGGGGGCTGTAGACATCGTTCGCTGCTGTTGGTGTCATTTTGGCTTTGCTGACGCCTTATTGCTATAAGCTCTTTAGACATGTCAACTCCTCACAGGATCAAGTGTTTTTCACTTTCTCACAAGGTTTCTCACTCTCATGTGCAGTGCCGACCTGTGCCTACCGGCTCACCACAGCTCAGTGTGATCCCAACAGAAACAGCAACCCCAACACACACATGAACGACGAGGATCGGAACGAGCGAGAGGCTCCTATTTTGTAGCGACAACCCGGAAAGTGCCATATAGATGTATTAGCATAGACTAACCTTTAGCTTTGTTAGTGGTGACGTACAGGGATCCAGTAAAGGCTAGGTCACGCCTGGAGCAAAGCAAAGTCAGACTGGCTAAGACTGGCTCTCTTGGAGAGGCCCTGCCCTGTCACTTCCACTCAGCTCTCCCCACCTCACCCTCGCCCGAGCCCTCCCTCTTCTTGACTGACAGGAGAATATGTAGCGACAAGCTGTCGGCCACTACTGAAATCTGCTTAGACACTGATTTTAGGGAGTTCTCCCATTGGTCAGGACACGAGACAAATTTGTTTTCAAGAGTCTCTTTGCTGATGCTGCTGTGATACAAAGGATGCTCGGAGTCAGGACTCAGTGTATTTGCTGCATTTTAATATCAGCTGACACACTTTGTTCTGCTTCCTTTCCATTTCTGGAGTGTTGTGTTACATTTTGGTTGTAACATTGTACCAGGCTCATTTTACAGAGATTGTGATTGTAATCTCAACCTCTCCCATTTGTGTCCCAGGCTAATGGGGGATGGCAAGATGCAACGACTCCGTCTTCTGTAATATCTCCGACAGAAGGACCTGGAAGTGTGCACTCCGATACCTCGGATTGATCCGCCATTAATGCATCTCCTCCTCAAGCTGGGCATGGACTCTTTTACTGGCTGACCAACAGCAGAGGATATTAAAAAAATAATCACAACAGATTAGTTTTCCTGTACCTTAAAATGTTCCGCCACACGAACGACATCCTCCATCACGAACACCAAGTGTTTCCTGATTGTTCAGTGTTTTCTTTCTGCCTTCATAAACCAACCATGCCCTTATTTGATTGTCATAGGAGTAAGCACACACATGTATAAATAAAGAACAGCCCTCAGATGTTACTCAGCAAACTTTCTCTGCTCTGAACTCAAATTACTGGAGGACACTTGTGTATTTAATATGACATTTAAACGGCCATTAGTTTGATTTTATTACACCTCTCCATTTTGATGATTGCTTTCTCTTCGCATTCTTACAGTACGTAGATTTAAGCAGCTGTTTCTTTGACTGTAATGTGCTCCACATCTTGTCCAGCAACTCAACAATGCTACTGTTGACAGCTCAATGGCAGCTTTGTAGTTGCGTTCAAGATTTATTTTCGCCTTACAGCCCTATACATTAGTACCAGAGAATGACTATTCAAACTCTGGAACATAAAGAAGTGTAATTGATTGCTTGACTATAACATGACACCATTCCATATTTTATAATTTCATGTTTAGTATGTACATATGTAAACATTTTTTTTGTACTGCTTATGGAAATCAACAAATCCCCCTACGGTAGATCATTCCTTCATGGCACAGGAGCAGGCCCCCATTACGCAGGAAAAGTTGTACATAACATAACATAGCTAAAGAGTAATTATACATCCCATCTGTCAATCCACAGCTTTATTACCTCATTCAAATTCACACACACCAATAATTTCCAACTTTTCTGTAGCTTAGAGTGCTCACTTACTACCTCTAAACAAAAATCACCACATCATTCTTTCTTTTGTCCTTATTTAATGTTTTTATGTAGTTATTTTTGATGACATCTTGTAACACTGTAAACTCTATCATTCTCTATGTAATCTAATGTATATTTTAATCTTTTAATAAAATACTGTTGCGGGACTGCAACTTAAAATGACAAAAATAAAAAAATGAAAACGATAACAATATTAATACCGTGAAGAAGAGATGTGGGGAGGGTGTGGGCGGGGTGAGGTTATTGGTCTGTGGCTTTTACGACGGGGGTGCGATGAACATTGTTGATAAATTAATGCCAAACAGTAAAACTGTTGTAAATACTAAAGAAAAAAAAACATTTTGAATGTTGCTCATCTTGTTACTAAATCATGCAAAAAAAAGAAAAAAATCACTATAAAAACTGTAATGCATAGAGGTTTCAGTATTCAGAACTGTACATTTCAAGCTCTGTTCAACAGGGTTCAAGACTTCTTTTCTCTCTTTTCTATTGTATGTGATTCTGAAACTGAAAAGTCATGACCGATGATTTGTGGCAGTGATTCTAATGTATTAAAGATGTTTAGTGTTACTTTCTAACCAGACTACACCCTGGACTGAAAAGTCTTCCTTGTGGTAGTTGTGTAATTTCAAACATGAATAAACCTTTTGCTTTCATGACAGCAAGGTGTGTCGTCTTTCACGTTTGTTGCATTTTCAGTAAAAATCAGAATCACAAACTGACAATAAAAAAACACATTTTAATGTAGACGTGCTGCACCACATAAAATTAATGCTAGACTAATTAAAATTTGTTATTCTCTCATTGATGATTAAACAGTTTTGTGTGTTTTTAGGAATATCAGATACATTTATTCATGCTCATTTTTTCAAAGTATGTATTCATCATTTACAACTCAGTTTTATGCCTTTGCTCTCATTTTAAATGGTGAAAAGAAGCTAAAGACGTAACCTGGTTTGCAGCTACTGTGCAGCTGACATGGTTAGTGCAATTAACTGAAATGTCAGCCACTTCTAATCCAGGCTATTCTGTCTGTCTGTTGTGGAAAGGCTGCCTTAATGGATCATTGGTTACCAATTCCACATGGAAATTGACATCCATTTATTCTCATTTTCTCAGCAGAGTTCTTCATTCCTGTCTCCTTCATGTCCAGTGTTTGTGTCTCTCCGTCATGCACCTTACTGGATTTTACAGAGTAAAAACAGCTGAAGGGGCCGAGTGTCTGTACAGTGCTGCAGATACAGGAGCTAATTTAATATGAGTGTGTGTGCATGTGTCAGTGTTTTGATTTCAACATATGAGTGCGGATAGATGGGAAAAAGAGAAAAGAGATGTAACAGCATAGCACAAGTTTAATCCAAGCGCAATGCACAGAAGGTTTTCCCGGGAGAGCACATTTGTCCACTCAACCAGTGCAGAACTTCATTGAACACCTTTCTGAAGAAATCATATCTTTATCCTGATATAATACACAGCCATGCCACAGACTTTCATCCGACACTGCGATTTCAATTTAAAAAGAAATATTGTTGCCTTTGAAGAAAATCAAAATAGAAGCTTTATGGTTTTTCAAAACAACGACGTTTATCAGTTTATTTGTCAGGATTATTAATATTGATTTGATTCTGCTTATGGGATTTTTAGCCACACGTGCATCCACATGAGTTTGTTTCATAGCAAACACTTATGTTTGATAAAAGTGAATATGCATGCACACAGTTTTTCCTCTAACAAAAGCATTTGGAGTTCAGTCCTGCTGTATTCTGCCATTTGGATTACAATCCATTTGCTCATTCTCCCTTTACAAATATACATTTGCTTCCTCTAGTCTTCAACTATTGAATTTTAAGTACTGCACTTAGAAAAATTGGCCTCAGAACCTTTTAAATAAAGAAGCTGCATTTTCTAAGATTATGCCTATTAGAGATTTTTTGTAAGGTTCATTAAAGACTACATTTTCTAAGTAAAAGTCACCATGAAGAGCATGCATCATTAAATATGGAAATCCAGAATTACATTAGCAATATGCACCAAGCTAGTGCCAATTAAATTAGAGAAAGATATCATTTATATTATT